CCTCATTTCCAAGCTCCACTGAAGCCAACAGGCCAGGTCCTGACTCAAGCAAAGCATCCAGGAGCTTTGCCTGAGCAAAGCGCTGAGGCTTCGGGTCCTAGACATTACTAAGTTATCAGAAAGGTTTCTCTGCAGTGACATCACCTCCTTCTCTCACCACAGGGAACTTTTTTCCTATTATGAGAGAGTGTGTAACTGAACTGAGCCTGTCAAGATAAACTCAGATAGGACGAGAGACAATTGCCTTTGAGGCAGCAATTAAGACATTTCTGGTGAGATCAGCTCCACTCAAGCTGGAGCAGATATGCACGCGGGTGTAAAGAGACGGCTTCATCACTTTACCTAGCTCCTTGCCAGGAAGTGCGGTCTCAGATGGGAGCAGGGAGGCTCCCATGCCCTGCCTGTGCCATTCCCGGATCCTCAAACATAGTAAGGGCAGCAGTACAGAGTTCTCCCTGGGCATTGCCACCTTCCTTTCAGCCTCTCTGCTGGGCCAATGCCAGCCTTGCAAGAGAAAATGCAGCAGGCCCCCCTGGTTCTGGGTTAGGATCGAGCAGACAGGGCCCCAGCAAGACACTGCCCATGGTATTTTAGTGGCTTTCTCATTTTCCATAGATCAGAGGCAGTTTAATGTTCTCCCTGCACCTAAACAGTCGGTGACCCTGCATTCCGTCTGTGAGACGCTGCAGGCAGATTTACACGCTGTTGTTAAATTTGCCTGTATCCTGCAGCGAGATATGAACTGGGGCAGACAGACAGCAACCCTGCCAGCGAGCTAACGGAGCGCCCCCCTGGCCTGCTCAGCTGGAGCGCTGAGAGGCTTTCATGTCCTGTGCAAACATCCGTTTGTTAGGGCGGGTTTCTGAAGCCATCCGAGTCTCTGTGGGCTTGTCTACGTGAGAAACTTGCAGCAGTTCAGCGGTTGGGGCACTCGCCCGGAGGCTGAGGGAGAGAGAGAGACCCACAGGCAAGCTCCGCTGTGTCACAGCCTTTCTGAGTGACCTTGGACAAGTCACTTAGTCTCCCAAGCTTGGACCTGCAGAAGGGGCTTAGGCATTGTGACGATAACCACAGGAACAATATTATGTTCCACAAAACCAAGTTGGGCACCAAGGCTCTCTATAGAAGGAAGGTGTTGATGCTGACACCTTAGAATGTAGTAAACGAAGCCGGGACACATGGAATGGGAGCTAGCCAAGGGGGGTGCCAATGAGAGTGCTATGTCCTCCCCTGCTCTGGGCTTGGTGCCCAAGTCCAGGCTGCAGGGGGGGCACCTGGCTCTTCTTATGATTCACGCACGGGGGGAAGATAGGCGTTCAGGCCCAGCACACGACTTTGGCGGTCGATCTGCTACGGGTGCTCGGAGGCCCCCACGCAAAACAGCTGTAGGGGTGGGGGAGAAGAGGAGGGCCACCCTGATAACCTTCAGTGCAGGGGTTAGGGCGCTCTCCCCTGGGAGGTGGCTGATCCCTGTTCAAACGCTTCCCCCTCATCTGGCAGAGAGGGACTTGAACTGGGAGTCACCCAGGTCTTGGGTGCATACCATAATCTTCAGTCCAGTGTTTTCAGGAAGGGGGTCCTCCTCCCCCTCCCATTTGGTGTGGAGTTAGGGCGGCCTCTGAAGACACCTCCTGGATCGAGCCCCACACATGACCTAGGCAGCCGAGCTCTTGTCTTCCCCGGTTTGTGAACTGCCCTGGGGCTTAGGTGGGAGATAGAGCCCCAGCACCTAAAGTGAGGTGCACTGCACGTGCGCAGAGGCAGAAACATAGGCACCGAGGCTACTTTTACTCCAAAAACAAAAGCGCCAAGCAATCTGAGGTGTGTGTCTACAGGGTTAGGTAGCAGCCAATGGGAGTTTTGTGGAGCACAATGGTGCCTAAAAAAAATGGTACTGTGCCTCAGTTTCCCCCATACGATGGGGATAATAGCACTGCCCTACCTCCCAGCCATGTTGGGAGGACAAATACAGCGAAGATTGTGAGCTTCTCAGATCCTACGGTGTTGGGGGCTACATGGGTGGATACGACAGAGAGGTTTAAAGTCAGACCTGGTCTGTATTAATATGGGTATAACAGGGCCATGCAGGTGGCCTGTCTACACTATGGACAGAGGTCTGATTGCAGACATACCTGAGCTAGTTGTAATCTAGCTAGTGACTCTGCAGCAGCTTGGGCTCTAGCGTGGGCGGGCGGCCTGAGCGCTCACATGGCAAACCAGTGCTGTCACGGCTCTGCTGCTGTTGTTACCCGAGCTGGCTGGATTCCAGCTAGCTCGGGCATGCTGCGGTCACACTTCCAGTGGCAGTGTAGACACATCCTCTCACAGCCCCTGTGCAGAGGAGTAAAGGACAGCTAACCCGACCCCAAGCTCTGAGATGTAAGCGTTCTGCTATTATGAACAGCTCGGGGGATAGATGGCTCTGGTTCTGCTGCGTGAGTGATCTGCCTTACTTCTCCTTAATTGAGACAGAAATGTAGGCCCGTTTGCTAGCTCTGTCTGTATCAATTTAGTCCCTGTCTTCTACAGCAGGATAGCGTCTGCAGTTGTCTCACCACCATCCCTAGCTAGCAGCCAATCAGTGTTTCCCCTCAGTACCACCGAAAGGCAAAGGATGGTGAAATCCCCACGCACCATGTTATCGTGCTTAAAACTGAGCTTAACTCCACCAGCCAAGGCTCACGTACACAAGGACCATTCAGGTTAAATTAGAAGTAGAGACTCCAATAGAAATCAGAGTCCTATCATGGCAGCAGCCGTCTACACACTGTAAGAGGCTGTCCCTGGCCTGAGGAGTTGACAAACTACGTAGTCAAATCAGGATTATCCTCCTTCTACAAAAAGAAAAGGAGTACTTGTGGCACCTTAGAGACTAACCAATTTATTTGAGCATGAGCTTTCGTGAGCCACAGCTCAGAAGTGAGCTGTGGCTCACGAAAGCTCATGCTCAAATAAATTGGTTAGTCTCTAAGGTGCCACAAGTACTCCTTTTCTTTTTGCGAATACAGACTAACACGGCTGTTCCTCTGAAACCTCCTTCTACAGAGCACTGCCCCAGGTCACACAGGAAGTCTGTGACTCACTGAGGTGGTATTTGGAGCCAGATCTTCTGCGACTCAGCTCATGTCTTTAACCACAACACCATCCTTCTCTCAGCCGCTTCCCCTTATGCTCTGGGGGATAGTCATAGAATCATAGAATATCAGGGTTGGAAGGGACCTCAGGAGATCATCTAGTCCAACCCCCTGCTCAAAGCAGGACCAATCCCCAACCACCCTCTGTGTCAGCTTCTTCCTTTCTTATGGCTCAAAGCTAGACGGGGGCAAAAAAATGTAAATTCTTTTTCCCTCGACATTTTGAAAAATGTATAGTCTTTTTAAACTTCCTGTGAAATGTCTTTTTCTATGAAAATGTAATGTGAAAACGATTAGCTTTTGAAAACGGTTTTCAATAAAGTGGTATGGTATGGGGTAAGAGAGATCTGGTTTCCAAAAAACCAAGCAATAATATGTATCTGAATGAAAATGAAAACATTTTATCAAAACAATTACAGTTCTTCGTTTCCATTGTTTAGCCCCGCCTCCCCCACACCCCAAAAACCAGACATTTTCAACAAAACCAAAGTTTCCACCAAAGATTTTGTTTTGGTTAAAAAGCTATTAATTGTCCAAAAATGTTTTGATGAAAAATTTTGACCAGGTTTTCTTAAAACACAGCCTTGGGCTTCAGTAAGTTTTGGTGTCCTGATCTCTTGAAGAAAAAACAATGTGCTAAACTTTCCCCTGAATTATATTCCATGTAACTGTGTTAACAGGGTATAAGCCAGGGCAGAAATTTGTCCATAGTCATTTATCATATAGGGTCCTAGGCAGCAAGACACATCAAACTATCCTGTTTATTTCTTATGGGTAAAAGAGTGAATCTCATTGCGGCTCCAGTGAACTTGGAGGATATCACTGATTTTTGGTAGATTTTGCTGTTGGTAGAGTTTGTTTGAAGAATTTTGATGGAACAGTTTTCTGTCAGAAAATGCAATTTTGTCAGAGCCTAAACATGTCACAGGAACATGTCAATTTCAACAAAATTTTTGACAGGAAAAAGTTGAAACAAATCATTTTGATTTTCTCACTTTTCAACCAGGTTTGGTTTGACTTTATCATTTTGAGTCATTTTGTTTTGACTTTAATATCCAATTAAAATCTTAATTTTAATATTACATTATAGTTACAGATAATATTCTGTATAATCCATATGTTCCACATTTTAATTACGATGCTTTGACTTTATCAAAATGAAATGTTTGCACCTTATTGAAATGAAACAGTTTGACATTACTGAAACAAAATCTTTGAATTGTTCTGAATGGAAATCTTTCAGAATTTTTGTTCCAGGGGAAATTTGGAACAAAACCAAATTTCAAAGGCGGAATTTCTCATGGAACAGAATTTCCAGTTTCTGACCAGCTCCAGTCATTGGGCTTTCATGACTGTAAAGAGTAGTTGGACTAAGACCTGAACTCCTGCAACCCAGAGAGCATGTTCTGAGATACAGTCTGATGGATGCTCACCGTCGATGCTCCCTTCCTCTTTGTCTTTGGTTTCTAGGTCAGGCATTCATATCTAATCTGGGACCCCAGGAACTCAGTCATTCCTGGCTGGCGGCTGTTCAGCACGTCTATATGAAATAAGATGATGGGTCTTAGTCCAGTTACATTGTTAGAAACACCATCAGAACTGGCAGTTGGCAACCTTGGGCTACAGAAATGAACTACCCTCAAGGTCCCATAAGAGGTGCTGCCAGGTCACGGTTGCAGCACCTGTCCTGGGCACGGTTTGGAACATTGCACTATGGCTTCCCCTTGCTTTAATTGCTTTTTACAGACCAGCTCCGTCTCCAGGGCTGTCAATTTCTCGAGTCAGCGGCAAGAAACCCACTTAACTAACAATACAGGCACATCATGAAATGCTGGGTGAACCTGTTACTCTGTTTCTTTCCCCCAGACGCCTGGATGCAAACCTGATTTCCGTGGTGCCCAAGAAGAGCTTTGAGGGGCTGCCCTCCTTGCGTCACTTGTGGCTGGATGATAATGCCCTGACAGAGATCCCTGTCCAAGCTCTCAACAACCTTCCAGCCCTGCAGGCCATGACGCTGGCTCTCAACCTGATCTGGCATATTCCTGACTACGCCTTCCAGAACCTCAGCAGCCTCGTTGTACTGTAAGCTCTCGACATGCACTGTACATTTATAGGCTGTTTATATTTTTGTGTGTGTGAGAATGAGCAATGCCACGCTGTAGTGGTCAGGCCAAGACGATATGGATGTAAGACCTACGGTTGCTGCCACATAAAGGAGATCTCCTTTTGCTCAAATGATAGCAACCAGTGTTTTGAATCGAGCTGATTTTAAAAATGCTAATTATTTGTCCTATGAATTTTTTTAATTGCTTTTCTTTCTAAATTTTCCACAGTTTTTTTTCAGTTTTTCCATGGAAAACCATGGATGTTTTCATGTTTTGAAAACTGGTTTGTGTAAAAATGTTCCGGTTTTGCAAACCGAAACCCCACATATTTTAATGAAAATGTGCACCAAAAAGTTTCTGGCTTTTCATTTAAAAAAAAGTGGGAAATGTCTACCAAAGTTTCTGCAGAACTTTTTGTTTTTTTGTCCAAAAGTCCTTTTTTGTTGGAAAGAAACTTTGACCAAAAACTTTCCTAACCACTCTGGGTTTGGGAGGTGAAGTACAACAGTTCTGACCTCAGCACTGTGTGTGTGAGAGAGATAAAGTGACCAGTGGCTATGGGCTACTATTCTTTGTAATAATTCTAAACCTACTGTGACAAAGTTCCTGCTCTACCTTGGTGGGTCTTGCACTTATTGGCGGATTTGCTCGCCTTGGAGCTTCACGGCAGCCCTCAGCTTGGCCGTTTTTCTGAACCCACAGTCCAGGTCGACTCCTCCTGTGTCTGACCAGGAGTTGGGAGGTTTGGGGGGAACCCGGGCCCGTCCTCTACTCCGGGTTCCAGCCCAGGGCCCTGTGGAATGCAGCTGTCTAGAGTGCCTCCTGGAACAGCTGTGTGACAGCTACAACTCCCTGGGCTACTTCCCCATGGCCTCCTCCCAGCACCTTCTTTATCCTCACCACAGGACCTTCCTCCTGGTGTCTGATAATGCTTGTACACCTCAGTCCTCCAACAGTCCGCGTTCTCACTCTCAGCTCCTAGTGCCTCTTGCTCCCAGCTCCTCACACGCACACCACAAACTGAAGTGAGCTTCTTTTTAAAACACAGGTGCCCTGATTAGCCTGCCTTAATTGATTCTAGCAGCTTCTTGATTGGCTGCAGGTGTTCTAATCAGCCTGTCTTAATTGTCTCCAGAAGGTTCCTGATTGTTCTGGAACCTTCCCTGTTACCTTACCCAGGGAAAAGGGACCTACTTAGCCTGGGGCTAATATATCTGCCTTCTATTACTCTCCTATAGCCATCTGGCCCGACGCTATCACACTACTTGGTACTTTCTAGATTCTTTTTACGGTGCCATTGGAATGTAAAGACATAATTTACAGTATATTGAACAGTCTAGGAAAATGACACTGCTTCCAATGACTGCTCCATTCCAGATGGAATACATTTATTTCACAGGCACTGAGAAACAGTAAACACTCTACAATCTCTAATTATATGGCAAATGGATGCCGTTGTAATTTCATACTGGGAAGTGTCCCTTACATTAACTGGGGGCTTACATGTTATTTGTCTTCTAAATGGAAACCTACATCTGCAAATTAGTTGGCAATTTATTGGTTGGTGTTGATTAGTAAGTTAAAGTGTAATTGCCAAGTAGCCCAGAACCCCTGTATGTACATCCAATAGTTACAGGCTTACAGGCTTGCTTATGGGACATAAAATGGAGTGCTACTGTATTCATGTGTTTTGTAGCCAGCAATAAAGTTTCATCAGCATTTGGTGCTCAGGGAAAGCTTAGCAATTGCTTAGCTCTCAGAAGAAAAAGCGTTTGCTGAAGCCTTATAGAAATATGCACTTTACAAACTTTTATTAAATATTCAACTGCTTAGATGGAAGGTAAAGGCACATTGGGGAGAAATAGCTTGAGAAATGTCGGATAATCAGTTTGTTTTCACACAGGATAGAGTTCAGTCCTTGAGGGGGTCATTTAGGGATCTGGGGCAAAAATTGGGGGATCGGTCCTGCTTTGAGCAGGGAGTTGGACTAGATGACCTCCTGAGGTCCCTTCCAACCCTGATAGCCTATGAGGATAGGACCAAATGTCGTCATCTCAAGGCACTTGCAGTCATCAGTTCAACCACTGGTGATGCCCTTTGGCTTCAATTGCCTTTTGAACTGTTATCTCAACCTCAGAAGATGCCCTTTGGCTTCAATTGCCTTTTGAACTGTTATCTCAACCTCAGAAGCATGGTGCTCTCATACTGGGAATCCCAAACCTTGGGTGGGAAAAAAATTCTTCGCTATGGTGGGAAAGCAGAAGAGGCCTTGACCACAAGACGGAAAGGAGCACCCTCCCGCAGACGGCTGGGTATGGGACATGTGTAGGAGCCTAACCCAACATTGTGGGAGATCATTCAGGATTTCTGTGGGACTCACAAGCGTTCCACAGAGCCAGCCACACAAATTGCCGCCATGCTCACAGTTTCCCCATGTCGGCACTTAGCCCACAGAAGATCTGATGTTCCCCTTGTGCCCTGACCTGTGAGCTGCCTTGCTCCATGCTCAGCCTCCGACGAGGCTAATAAACTTTCCAAAACCTCAGCAAAGAATCTCAGCCCACCAGCCAGTAAAACTTCCCCACCGCCATGCAGAGTGCATGTGTCTGTCCAAGTGTGCAAACTTGCAAATGCAGGGAGAAGAGAGGCTAGCCGCTGCCATAAACTTAAGTACCCTTCTAGTCTGGGAGTTATTTAACATAAGCACCTGTAGGAGAGGGGAGCTAAGAGCAGATGTGGAGGAGTACCGGGAAAAAGCTGTCATTTATAGGCTGATTAATGCTCACAGACGCCCCTCATCAGGAGAACATGACCTTCCCAGATGCAGCAACGTGTTTTCCTGCTCTGCACACCTTGGACCTTTTGGAAAGACACAGCTGAACCACCCGGTGATGATGGGATGAACCCACAGCAAAATATACCTGCTTCAATCTGGAATAAATTAGGGGCTTCAGCCTCTGCTTATAAATTACACCCCTTCGCTGAGGAATTCCCTGTCCTGTTCCCATTTCTGGTGCAGGTTTGTAACAAGGGTTGCAGAGTATTTTGAAAGCAGGCCCCTATGTAATCACTCCACCATGCTCCCCTTCGCTGTCTTTGATAACTGCAGCTTCCTTTGCTGTGAGTGTTAGCGCAGTGATGTTGAGGGCTGGTTTGTTTGATATGGGGGGTAGGAGGCCTGAAGGGGTTGGGAATGGGACACTAAGACTTTCCCTCCGGAGTCTGACCCAGCATGACAGGGACAGAATGTCACTTAGCATCTGTGAGTAGGGCTGGTCGAAAAATTTCCATCAAAACTGTTTTTTGACTGAAAATTGGGATTTTGACAAAATAATTTTTTTTTTAATTAAAAATCAGAAGGGCTAAAACCAGAAATATTTCAATTTGGGTATGTTACCACCGTGCATCATGGGAATTGTAGTTTATCATAGAAATGTTCGACTGGAAGAGACCTCGGTAGGTCATCTAGTCCAGGCTCCTGCTCTGAGGCAGGACTAAGTATTATCTAGACCATCCCAGACAGGTGTTTGTCTAACCTGTTCCTAGAAACTTCCAGTGATGGAGTTTCCATAATCTCCCTAGGCAACTTGTTCCAGTGCTTAACTAATGTACCCTCGCAGGAAGCTGTTCCTAAAGTCTAACCTAAATCTCCCCTGCTGCAATTTAAGCCCATTACATCTTGGCTTGTCTTCCATAGTTAAAGAGAACAATATATCACTTTCCTCTTTAAAACATCCTTTTATGTACTTAAAGACTGTTATCATGTCCTCTCTGTCTTCTCTTCTCCAGACTAAACAAACCCAGATTTTTCAGTCTTGCCTTGTCATCTTTTCTATGATCTTTAATCATGTTTGTTGATCTCCTCTGGACTTTTTCCAATGTACTCACATCTTTCCTGAAGCATGGTGCCCAGAACTGGACACAGAACTCCAGCTGAGGCCTCGCCAGTGCTGAGTGGAAGAATTACTTCTCATGTCTAGCTTTAGTTATGCCATGTCCCCATTCTCCTCTATGGGCTGAACTCCCAGGCTGGACTGCGTCTTCCAGGATGCACCACTACCAGGGACTCCCATGCCACACTGCCTCCCCCGCTCCTTGGGGCATCATGAACGTACTGCCGTGCTTAGGAGAATGGCTTTTCCTGGTGGGCATCCTCTCTTACTCTCCCCACGAACCAAGCAGGGAGTATCTAACCTGCTGCCTTTCCCTAGGGAGAGAGATGGGAGGACACAAAGACAAGCCCTGGCTACAATTACCCGGGAATGGATGGAGAGGTGGATTGACCAGGCTGAGATGGTGGCACCTAGCCTGTCGCTCCAGGCAGAGCGGTCCTCGCTGTGTTTTGTTCTTTCAAAGGCCTAATAAATGCAGCTGCCTGGGGTAGAGGGTGAGGTTCAGTCAGCCTCCGGCGTTTGTGTGGGGAGATCTGGGCTCTGTCACCATGCCATGGGGGGGGGGTTGCAGCTTCATTTCCTCATGTCAGCATGACCCTGAGCAGAGCGGCTAAAAGGTGACTGGGCCCTGGAGTCTGAGCTGCCCTCTGGCCCTGGAGCCGGTTGAAGGGCGTGCTTCCATTGCAGTGCTGCTGGCTTGGTAACGACCATGGGCCGTCCTGCTCTTAGTCACAAGCGGGGGAATTCCTCTGACGTTACTGCAGGCCTACACCAGCACGAGTGATGCCAGGACCCCCGGAGCCCTGTCTTGTCACATGGCCAAGAGTGCTCAACTCCATGACAAACAGCCTGACCCAGGTGCCCGTCCCCTTGGTATCAAAGGGTTGGCCTTCCGGCTCGCTGTGCTTTGCATTGAGCGAGCTCTCACTCAATCCCTCTGCTCTTCAGCATAGGAGGGATGAAAATGGGGCAGATGCCACTCAAAAGTGGGGGAGAGGAACTGGAATGGCAGTATCGCCTGCCCCTAAATATCCAGACGTCCCTCCAGGAACATGCTGTGTATTCAGGTCCCCACAGGCTTTGG